GAAGAAGCAAAAAACACCCAACTGGAAAAACAAAATGAAAAAAGAATCCAAAAATATCAAGATAGTGTAAGGAGCCTCTGGGACAGCTTCAAGTGTACCAAGATCCAAATTATAGGGGTGCCAAAAGAAGAGAGAGCGAGATATTGAAAACCTATTTGAAGAAATAATGACAGAAAACTTCCCCTACAAGTCCAGGATGCACAGAGAACCCCAAACAAAAGGAATCCAAAGAGGACCACACCAAGACACATCATAATTAAAATGCCAAGAGCAAAAGACAAAGAGAGAATCTTAAAAGCAGCAAGAGAAAGAAAGTCAGTTACCTACAAGGGAGTACCCATACGACTGTCAGCTGATTCCTCAACAGAAACTTTGCAGGCCAGAAGAGAGTGGCAAGAAATATTCAAAGTGATGAATGCCAAGAACCTACAACCAAGATTACTTTATCCAGCAAAGCTATCATTCAGAATTGAAGATCAGATAAAGAGCTTCACAGATAAGGAAAAGCTAAAGGAGTTCATCACCACCAAACCAGTATTATATGAAATGCTGAAAGGTATCCTTTAAGAAGAGGAGGAAGAAGAAAAAGGTAAAGATACAAATTATGAACAACAAATACACATCTATCAACAAGTGAATCTAAAAATCAAGTGAATAAATAATCTGATGAACAGAATAAACTGGTGATTATAATAGAATCGGGCATAGAAAGGGAGTGGACTGACTATTCTTGCGGGGAAAAGGGGTGTGGGGGATGCGGGAAAAGACTGGACAAAAATCGTGCACCTATGGATGAGGACAGTGTGAGGGGAGGGGGGAGAGGGCGGAGGGTGGGGTAGGAACCGGGTGGAGGGGAGCTATAGGGGGAAAAAAGAGGAACAACTCTAATAACCTGAACAATAAAGATTTAATTTAAAAAAAACAACTACAGCATATATAAACTAGAGACAAAGGGACACAAGACAGGATTTTTAGGGTTTAAAATTTTTCCCATTAGAGAGAGGGAGGGGGGTTCCCATTTGGAGGCCCCTTCCCAGGGGGTCCCCTTTGGGGACACCCCTGCCCAGATGGAGTTTGTATATGCTTCCAATAAACTTACACATTTGTATTAAAGAAATCTATTAGTCCATGAGTTTATTCTTCAAACTTCATAAGGACAAAGCCCCACGAAAGAATATGCATCCCAAATCCCCCATTTCATATATGGTAGGTCAACACTCAACCATTGAGCCACACCAGCCTGGCTCTATTGTTAATTTTTTGAGGAGCCTTCATACTGTTTTCCATGGTGGCTATACCAATTTATATTTCTACCAGCAATGACTGAGGGTCCCTTATTCTCTACAACCTCTCCATCTTATTACTTTACTTGTTAATAATAGGCATTCTAACAGTTGTGAGGTGGTAGCTAGTGAAGTTAAGCATCTTTGCATATATCTGTTGGCAAATTTCTGTCTTCTTGAGAGAAGTGTGTGTTGAGGTTCTCTGCCCATTTTTTAATTGGATTGTTTGCTTTTATGGTGTTGAGTCATATGAGTTCTTCATATATTTTCAATCTAACTAACCCCTTGTTGGAGCTATCATTTGAAAATATCTTCTCCCATTCTGTTGGTTGCTTTTTTGTTGGTTTTTTTTTGAAGGTTTCTTGTGCTGTGCAGAAGCTTTTTAGTTAGATATAATCTCATTTATTTATTTTTGCTTTTTCTTCCTTTGCCTTTGGGGTAATACAGATTGTTCTGAAGTATACATGGAATAGTCTCCAGATAAACCATATGTTAGGCCACAAAAGAATTCTTTTAAAAAAAAAAAAATATATATATATATTTTATTGATTTTTTACAGAGAGGAAGGGAGAGGGATAGAGAGTTAGAAACATCAATGAGAGAGAAACATCGATCAGCTGCCTCCTGCACACCTGCTACTGAGTATGTGCCCACAACCAAGGTACATGCCCTTGACCGGAATCGAACCTGGGACCCTTGAGTCTGCAGACCGACGCTCTATCCACAGAGCCAAACCAGTTAGGGCAAGAGTTCTAAATACATTTTAAAAGATTGAAATTATACAAAATATCCTCTCCAATCACAATGAAATGATGCTAGAAATCAATAATAGAAGGGAAATTGGAAAATTCACAAATATGTGGAAATTAAACAACATATTCTTTTTTTTAAATATATATTTTATTGATTTTTTACAGAGAGGAAGGGAGAGGGATAGAGAGTTAGAAACATCAATGAGAGAGAAACATCGATCAGCTGCCTTCTACACACCCCCTACTGGGGATGTGCCCGCAACCAAGGTACATGCCCTTAACTGGAACCGAACCCGGGACCCTTGAGTCCGCAGGCCGATGCTCTATCCACTGAGCCAAACCAGTAAGGGCAACAACATATTCTTAAACAAGCTATGGATCAGAGATCCATTACAAGAAGAAATTAGAATATAATTTGAGATGAATGAAAATGCAACATATCAGTAGTTATGGGATATAGCAAAATCAGTGCTAAGAGAGAATTTATAGCTGTAAACACCTATATTTAAAAAAGAACAAAGAGTCCTGGCCAGTGTTGCTCAGTAGATAGAGCATTGTCCTGTTCACTGAATGGTCAAGAGTTCGATTCCCAGTCAAGGGCACATACCTGGGTTGCAGGTTTGATCCCTAACCCTGGTGGGTGTGCATATGGGAGGCAACCGATTGCTGTGTCTTTCTCACAGCGATGTTTCTCTCTCCCCTTCCCTCCCTCTTCCACTCTGTCTAATGATCAATGGAAAAAAATATCCTGGGGTGAGGATTAACCCAAAAAAAAATGAAGACGAAGAAAGAGCCCAGCCCCGCTGGTATGTCTCAGTTGGTTGAGTGCACCAAGAGGCCACGGATTTAGTTTAGTCCTAGGTTGCAGGCTCGATCCCCAGTAGGGGGCATGAAGGAGGCAGCTGATCTGTTCTCTCTTATCAATGTTTCTATCTCTCGCTCCCTCTCTCTTCTCTCTTTAAAATCAATAAAAGTATGAAAGAAAAAGAAAGAAAGAAAGAAAGAAAGAAAGAAAGAAAGAAAGAAAGAAAGAAAGAAAGAAAGAAAGAAAGAAAGAAAGAGGGAGGGAGGGAGGGAGGGAGGGAGGGAGGGAGGGAGGGAGGAAGGAAGGAAGGAAGGAAGGAAGGAAGGAAGGAAGGAAGGAAGGAAGGAAGGAAGGAAGGAAGGAAAGGGAAGGGAAGAGAAGAGAGAGAGAGAGAGAGAGAGAGAGAGAGAGAGAGAGAAAGAAGGAGGAGGAGGAGGAGGAGGAGGAGGGAGGGAGGGAGGGAGGGAGGGAGGAGGAAGGAAGGAAGGAAGGAAGGAAGGAAGGAAGGAAGGAAGGAAGGAAGGAAGGAAAGAAAGAGAAGGGAAAGATCTAAATCAAAAACCTAACTTTATACCTTAGGAACTGAAAAAGGAAAAGCAAACTAAACCCAAAGCTGCCCGGCCGGTGTGCCTCAGTGGTTGAGCATCAACCTATGAACCAGGAGGTCACAGTTTGATTCCCAGTCAGGGCACATGCCTGGGTTGCAGACTCAATCCCCAGTGTGGGGTGTGTAGGAGGCAGCCAATCAATGATTCTCTCTCATTAGTGATGTTCCTATCTCTCTCTCCCTCTCTCTTCCTTTCTGAAGCAAAACAAAACAAAACAAAACACCCAAACTAGCAGAAGAAAAATAATAATAAAGATTAGAACAGAGATAAAGGAAATAAACAATAGGAAGAATCAACAAAACCAAAAGTTGGTTCTTTGAAAAGAAAAAAATCAACAAAATTCACAAACCTTTAGCTAGAATGACTAAGAAAAATAACTTTAGAATACTGTACTCTGACCATAGATCCTTTAGTGGAACAAAAAGAACTATAATTTTAATCCTCATTCAGTAGTTTAATTTTTAGTGCTATTTGTACCATTTTAAAACTATGTTTATAATAGAATAATGCAAATAAGATAAGTAATTATGTTCATATTACTAGGAACCAGGATTTTCAAGCCAGCCAAGGCGGGTGCAATGCGATTGGTCGGGGGCCCGGCCATCGCCCCATGATTGCCCCATGATCCGCCCCACAGAGGGAGGCCCAGGCCACCAGCTGGCCGACCTGTGGGCTATGGTGGGTGGGCGGGGCCTCCCTCTGTGAGAGAAGCCCAGGTCCTGGGTGCCAGGGGAAGGAAGGCCTACTCTTGCACGAATTTCATGCATCGGGCCTCTAGTATAATATAATATACACAAGTATTGCCAAAGTGATTTAAACTGAATAATCTAATGATGCCTTTTATAGCTAACTTCCGGATTATAGGAAATACAAGGGATGGTGAAATGAGTTAAGTGATTTTATGAGGAAGCAATCAGATGAATCGAGAATGTGGGAAATGACATTCTGTGAGACAACTGACTGTTCTTTTCAAAAAGTCACTATGGAAAAAATAAATGGGTAGGAGGGCAATATCTAGAATAGTAAGGTCCTTTTATAGTAAGGTCCAAACGTGTATGGTTCATGTTTGGACCTTACTATAAAAGAAACTTTGGGAGTAATAGGGGAAAATTCGAATATGGATTGGGTATTACATGATATTAGGGTATTGTTTTTTTAATTTTGTTAGGTTTATTAGTGGTATATGGAAAGAGAAACTCCTTATAATTTAGAAATGCATATTAAAGTATTCAGTATGTCTATTATTTATTTTAGAGAACTTCAGCACCAAGAAATAGATGAAACAAGTATGGCAAAATGTTGACATGTGTTAATGTGTTAAATATAGATGAGTGTATGAGTATTGGTCGTATTAGTCTTTCAATGACTTTTTAAAATATATTTGAAAATATTCATTGTACAAAGTTTCAAATATTAAAAATGGTTTGTGTGAAGTATGCTTCTTCTCAGCCTGAGAAAATGTACATTGGTTTTTACTTATGTTGAGAACCTGTGGCACTTGGATTCTTCTTCATATGGTTTTTTTCCTTCCCTCTCTCCCCCACCTATCCAGCCCTCTTTGAGTCTATGCACAGCAACCAGGCCTCAGATGGCACATTTTCCCCACCCCGTACTCTTCATTCACCTACCATGCAACTCCGGCAGCGCTCTGAGAAGCCCCCTTGGTGTAAGTAATCCTTTTGGAACTGCCTAGACAAAGGCCAAGAGGGATGGAGGAATTGGTGAGTGAGAAACCTGTCCCTTGAGGGAAACCAAGATGAGAGTTGAAAGACAAGGAATACAGTCAGGGAAGCAGTTTCATTTGCCTCTTCCAAGATGAAGGGAGGATTTGTTTACTGTGTGTTTTTTTTAAAATATATATTTTATTGATTTTTTACAGAGAGGAAGGGAAGGGATAGAGAGTTAGAAACATCGATGAGAGAGAAACATGGATCAGCTGCCTCTTGCATACTCCCTACTGGGTATGTGCCTGCAACCAAGGTAGATGCCCTTGACCGGAATCGAACCTGGGACCCTTGAGTCCGCAGGCCGACGTTCTATCCACTGAGCCAAACCAGTTAGGGCTGTTTACTGTGTCTTATCACCTCTGCCTCCCACACCCCTTCTATCTCACTGGGGAGGCTCCTAAAAGATAGTGGACCACCGGAGGGGCCTTAAGGAAGACAGGGTGGAGACTTCATTCTTCTCAGATCCTCACATAATTTCTACAGCTCCTCAAAGCACAGGTGACTTGGAAGGAAACCTGAATATTTAGAAAAGCTGGGGGAAGGAAACTAAAATCTGCTACTACTTTCAACTTTTTTCTCAAGTTGTCTGTTCTCAGGTGAAGTGATGCTTTTCCCCATCTCTTCTTTATCATCTCTAGCCTATCACTAACTATCCTTGTGAACAGTGGGCCACAAGGAATCCTTAGAGTAACAGTAGGGAGGGAGATACCTGTAGTAATCAGGGCCAGAGACACCAGTGATGGAAAATCCTTTCTTTATTCATCTTGCCTCCAAGGAATAACAAAAATCAAACATGCCTTTTACTATTTTACTTGGGTAGGACTTTAGCATTGAAGGAAATAGTTGTCGAATTTTGCCCTTCTTCTGGCACCCAGTATGCAGAAGAAACTTCCTTCCTAACACCAAGAATTCTCCCCCTGGATTTCAGATTATCCTACACTCACCTTGTCATTGTCCCTTTTACCTGTCTCCTATAGCGTTTATGGTTCTCTGCCCCCCTCTTGTTCCTCTCCCGCTTATATTTCTGTTTGACCTCTTTGATTTGCCTGAATCAAACCACTAAGTGAGTATAAGGCTACCTTGAGTGAATTCAGCTTACAGCTTCTTTTTTATTTTTAATCTCAGTATCAGGTGTATAGCCTCATTGGTAAGCATTTTCAGGGTCTGTCTCTCTGCCCTAAATAAGCCTTGGCACAAAACCATGTTCCTTTTTTTTTTCTACTTGAAGCATGCCTCCTGTGATGCTTTACCAAAAAGAGGTTACTGGCATACCTTAGACACAATGACTGATTGAGCTTTTGTATGCTTGCGCTTACCAGCTTTCCCAGATTCTCTTCTATTATAAGATACTCAGATGTCCCCTATTTCCAAAAACTATAATTATTGATGTCAGAGTGCTTTAAATATAAAGTTGCAATACCATAATAAATATAATATTTACAAAGGGAAAAGTAGATTAATCCCCTACTAGAGGTTAATGAAGAAATAGAGGTTGGGGTAGGAATTGTCCCACAGTGTAATTGAAGATTCCATGGACTTCATTTTACTACTCTCAGGATCTGGGAAATTAGTTTTTATGATATTAACAAACCTGTAACATCATATGTCCCAGTACTTAGAAGGTCTTCACTTTGAATCCATGGATGGGTTTCAGGGTAAAGTTTATGAACACCAGGAATCATATATAAAGATTAATGTGAATATTCACATGTATATTTTTCTAGGAGGATAATCCATAACTTTCATTAGAGTTTCAAAGGAATCAGTCACACACACACACACTCCACAAAGGTTAAGAACTGCTGCCATTTAGAGATTCCATGGGGTTCTTCCATCTTTGGGTAAATCATTTTCTTTTCTATTATTCTGATTCACAAGGTTTTTCTACATTCTTCTGCTTAACTTATACCTTGGGCTATAAACAATGATTACCTCTGCCTCAGAAATACATTGATTGCTTTAAACAAATGATTCTTAACCAAAGATGTGCATCAAACTTACTTGGGAGTGTTACATCAAAATATATTGCCTTCATCTCCCTCTCCACCCCACACCTTTACCCTAAACCTAAGAATTAGAATCTCGAGATTCTATGTAACCCCAATTATGAGCCACTGGGATAAAGTATTCATATGTTTTCAAAGTATGAATAAGGGATCAAGAAAATTTAAAATTTGGATAAGGGTACACTTGTAAAAGAACTGGATGAAGTGGGCCTCAGCACTTTCTCCTGAAGTCTTAGATGTACCTTAGTGCTACTCCTATAGTATATGTTAGGCCAGAGCAACAGTTTCTGAGCTGGGCTAACTTGGGAGTCTGTATAACTTAGAAAGAATTCAGACCTCCTTTCCCTGTGACATGAGTAATATGGGCCACCTGTCTGGCACTTGAACTACATACATAGAGTAAAGCCTTCTCTTCCAGTTTGCCTGACTTGGTCTTCTGACTTTGCTTTACAGACAGCAGTGGCCCTTCCAGCACTGTGTCCAGTGCTGGTCCTTCCTCCCCTACTGCAGTGGATGGTAATTGCGCATTTGGCTTCAGTGATCAACCCTCCCTGAGTTCACACATGGCTGAAGAATGTCAAGGCCTTGGGCTGCGCCAGAAGATCCCTGGGAATGGAGCACAAGAGCTCCTCATAGAAAGGGAGCAAAAGTCTTTTGAACCAAACCAGTTCCCACAGGAACCACCTGTGGAAACCAGCCAGCCATGCCAGGAAGTTGCTGAGGAGGTCAGCCAGCCATGTCAGCAGGCCCCTGACATTAGCCAGCCATGTCAGGACATCCTTGAAGAGGTCAGTCAGCCATGCCAGGAGGTCTCTGACAAGAGCCAGCCATGCAAGGACACCCATGATGATGTTAACCGGACATGCCAGGAGGTCACTCAGATCAACCAACTGTGCGAGAAAGTCTCTGAGGAAGCTTACAAGCTTTTCCGGGAGAACCCTGAGGAGGTCAGCCTGCCATGCCAAGGGGCCTCTGTGGAAGTTGGCAGGCTGGTCCATGGGTTTCCTGAAGGGTTTGGTAGCCTGGGCCAGGAAATCCTTGTGGAAATTGACAAGCCAGCCCAAGAGATCCCTGAGGAGCTCAGCCAACCATCCCAGGAGTTCTCTTTGGAGGTTGACAGACTGGCCCAAGAAGCTCCTGCAACCATTCTGTTGTCTCAGGATATCCCTGAGGTTGATACACCATCCCGAGAGTTCCCTGGGGAGGGTGATCTACAGGTCCAGGAGGGCCCTAAGGAGGTTAATCAGCAGTCCTGTGTGGTCCCTGAAGTCATTGACCAGCTGCCTGGAGAGGATGTTCCCCAAGCCCAGTTTCCATCTAGTGATCCAAACCCTCACTCAGAGCCAGTCTCTAGTCCATGACCAAAACTTATCCCTTCCACCAGCAACATGTGATTAGTCATTGTCTCATTGATGGTGTTATAATGTACCAGCCATTTGAGCTAGCAACTCTTTCTGTTGGCTAACTCACCTGCCAGCATAAGGCCTTGGATCTTACCAGAGGTGTCTGAGGAAGCAGTCCTCTTGACATGAGGCATACCTGTGCTGGAGCTGGGCTTGGTGAGGGGCCCATTTCGTGTTCAAAGCAGCCATTGACTCCTCACCAAGCCATTAGACTTGAATAGGATTTCCTTTAAGGGGTGGGCTGGTCTGTCATTACCCAGCCTCCTCTGAGCACCCCAGGAAATTCCAGATTGTTAAAGGAAATGCCTCTTAACTGCTGAAGACACCATCCCGGGACAACAAGTGCAAAAGGGGTTTCCAAGGTCTTCACTTTTCTGAGGAAATATTCACAATGTCTCAAAGTCCTTTAGACCACATGTGCATTCAGGGGGACTCTTTTCTTGGCTAGCACTCCTCAGGTGGGTCCAGGATGGCTGTCTGAAATGTCTGGGAAAGAGTCCCCTTACTAAACAAACATCCATCATGGCCACTAATCTTTAGATTGGGCTTATGGGTATTTCCATATCATCCCCAAGTGCCCTCTCTGTTCCTGTCCTTTGGAGAGGGCAATAGCTCAATGGAAAAATAGGTATTAGATCGCTGTGAAAATTTCAGAGTAACTACTTAAAATGCTTTTGGGGTTCTTGACCAATCTGTGAAGCAAGGCCTCTTTTGTTGTGGGGCTTTTTGGCTTAGAAGATGCTGTAGTAGAGAAAATCAGGTTCTATTTTTAAGCAATCAGCAGAGATAAATATTGTACAGACATGTGCAAAGATTACAGGGACAGACTGGCCAAAGAACACTCTAGGGTCTGCAAGAGGTTTGTCCTTCTATCATTGTGTCTTTAGGGCCAGGTGTGATTATGAAGCTAATCCCAAAGATGTGGGGATGGGAATGGGGGTGGGTATGAGGGGTAATGCTGCCATTAGAGTGGGGGCCGGAACATTATGAGTGCTCAATAAACATGAATGAGAGTGGTAGAGGTGGTGACGTCATTGTGAGCTCAAGAATGAATGTGACTCTTAAGTCAATCAGATATGTAACCGAATTAATCTGAACCAGTCAAAAGCCTTTGTAGTTGAGCAGGAACGGATTATAAAAATATACAGATCAGACATCCCAGGAGGTCCCTATGCCAATCAACCCACTATCACAAAATGTCTGAAGTGAGTAGTGTTGTGGGGGACAGAGGTTCTGTCTCTGTGAAACACCAGAGGGTACACAATGCCTTTTCACCAGCTCCTTGGAATCACCCTCTTAATTTTTTCTTCCGATGCTTTGGAGTGTCAGGAATTAAAGAGGTTATACTCTCTGTTTAACCCCTTGACATCTTTATGTCGGGAGAGCCCAGAACACTAGGAGGGCTGGAATATCCCTGCCCATATATTCACGTGCACAACTTGGCCTCTTCTTACATACCCATGACATATAAAGGGTTTCACTGCAGGAGGGAAATCCAACATTTCCCTCCATGAAAATCCTGACTGCAAAGGTGAGAGGTGTTTACAACCTCAATAAGCTCTGGGTCTCTTAAGGCCCCTCAACTCCTTACCTCTTTGGTGTTATCCTATCTGACGTATCTGGTTATTTGGTTCTCAGCTCTTGACCTCATGGAGATGCCGACCCTCTTCCTTCACCCATTTTCAGGAATTATGCTGGCTCCCTCATATCCTTCTCTCCCGCAACACACCCTATGTTCTCTGGCTTCCCTGGCTCCTGGAATTGCTTCCAGTTTTCAAAGATATTGAGAAAAATGACTATGCTTAGAGAAGCAGAGAAGCCAGAGCCCAGCAACTAAGCAGTATGTGGAGTCAGAAAAACCCTAAGCAGCATCTGTAATGAACTTGATTTATTGTTAGAGTTGAAGGCGGCTCTGTTACAGCAGCTGGGAACTAGAGCAGGGGAGTGTGGGGAGAAGCAGAGCACAGCAGCATGGGTTGGGTGGGAGCTAGGAAGGACACAGGCGGGCTCGTTTTGGTTTCCACACAGTCATTTGGCAGAGAAGCTGAGTCCTGACGAGTGTCTGGATTCCTCAGTCCATCAGTAGTCTGACAAGGCTGCTCATTGGCTTGCTTGGGGTGAGGTCCTCTCCTGAGATGGTATTTTCAGCCTGTTTTCATCTCACTCAGTAGGAGTTAAGCTTTTTAGCTCAGCTCCTCTCCCTTTCCTTCCTCCCTCTCCTTCCCCCCAAGTCCTCTGGCATGACCTCCACCTCCCAGATCCTCTCTAAGAGTATGTATGGGGCTGAAAAGGCAGCCAGCGTTCCCATTTCAGCTGCAGGATGGCATAGTGGAATGTTGGGGGAGTCACACATTGCTGGGTTGTCAAATGTTGGGATATGAGGCAGTGGCTTATTTTTAACCCATTACACACCAGGCCACAGTAGATGACCACATGCAGAAAAGCCAAGCAGGGGATGAGAAGGGATCAGGATCATTGGAATGGGTAGGTGAAAACTTCAAAAGGTCAGGGAGCTTGGAAAATTCTGGGTTTGGAGCTGGGCTCTCCTTGCCCCATTGTGCTGCCCAGTAGGCCTGGTCTGAGCACAACCCTGGGATGTGAATGGTATGAAGCAGGGACTGGGAGGATAAGCTTTCTTCTCTCACCAGTCTGTTGGTCAAGTGCTTCAAGTTTTGGGTTGAGACATTCAGATACGGAGGGAAGCAGTGGGACAGTGTAGCAGCAGTGTACCCCAGACCTCTGCTGGATCCCAGACCCTGGTGGGTAAGGGGATGGGAGGTGAAGGGTGCAAGTCTAGGCATCTCACTGACAGTATCCTTCCCCCAGGTCACATAAGTTACTATTGGAAATCCTTGGGATGCTAAATAAATAGATAAAGAGGTCCCTGGGGTTGCGGATATGATCTCGTTCCGTGAGGGAGGATGTTGCACTCTCAGACTCATCCTTACTCCCCATGCAATACCAGCATTTGGCAGTGCTAGGAGAGGTGTCACTCCAGAGTTCTCAGGCATCAGATGACATCCTATCCTAATTTGTACCCTCTCCCTATCCTGTTACCTTTGGTTTTGAGACTCCTCTCAAGTATGGATGAGGGGAAGGGACAACCCCTCCCATTTAGCCCAGCCCAAATTCCCACAAGATATCCTGTCCCCCATCTTCTCCTTCCCCAGGTCCCATGTCCCCAAACCCCAAGGACTCAGCAGTAGCCATTCTCTAAGGGAGCTGGGGGAGCAGATCCTTGGGGAAGGGAGAGTGGTTTTTTCAGAACTCAATCTTGCAGGCTGGGAAGGACTCATCCTGCATGACCACAGTGCTGCTACTGGCCAGGACCAGGACGTTCAGTTGCTGCTGCTGCTCATGAGTCTGCTGGTACCACTCACGAGTTACCTCCGTGTCATGAGTAGGGATCAAAGTCACCTAGGAGGGAGATAAGACATGCCTGATGTGAGAATGTGAAGGGAGCATATGTGAGGGGGATGGGATACCTGATGGTCCAGGAAATAGTCCCACTGCCCATAGAAAGGGCTCAGTCCTTTTATGAATATAGACTGTGTCCCACTATTGCCTCTGAGTAAGCTTTGACCATACTACCTCCTTGGCATCCCTTGTCACTCACCTGAAGATTCTCCCCCCATTGGGCCTTGCCCTCCAGCAGGGCGTCCAGCACAGCCCGGCTTGGCTCGCCATTGGCAGGGTCATTTCCACTGACCACATAGTAGGATGCACGCACTCGTCGGAAGAAGTCAAGATCAGCAGTCTTGCCACTGCAATGATTCGGGATGTAGGCGAGATCCACATATACAGGGGGACCAGAGCCACCCTTGGAACTCAAGGCCACTGTAGAGACAAGCCAGGACTCATTGTAGAGGGAAAGTAGACTGCTTTTGGCAACCTTCTCCTTCTTTCCCTTCCTCCCACTCCTGGAGCCTTAGACCAGCCGCACCCAGCCCCAATCCACAATCTCTCCTGTTCACATCGTACTTACTTGGTCCTGCTTTGAGTCCGTTGACCAGGCCTTTGGACATGGGGCTGTGTCCATCCTTTTCGTCTGCTGGGGTGACCTGGCTTGGAGTGCTCCGTGGCCGGGGTGGAACCCGGGATGCTCGATCTGCAGGCCCTTTACCAGGGGTGGGTGAGCGTTTTCCGCGAAGATCCAGACGCCGTGCAGGAGATGCTGGCTTGGCCCGGCCTGGGGCCCTGCGCCCTACTCTCCCCTGTGCCTTCTCCTTTTCCCGTAGCCTCTCTACCCTTCCAGACTCTGAGCTGAGCCCTTCAGGATCAGCCATGCACACATCAGGACGGGGAGGGCATGGGCGGGGGTCTGGCTGAGGGAGTGGCGGTGGGTCATGGCCAGGCCTGGGATGGTGCATTCCACTGACCCCCCCAGCTTTGTCCACAGGCAGGAAGTCCCCATCTTCATCTGAGTCGAGGGCTGCCTCAGCTGTGATGGATGGACATTCCTCAGTTTCTGGTGGAACGTCAGAATCTGACTGTGAGGAGCCTGAGTCGCTGACTGACGTCGGGGGTGTCTCATCTGCCACAGGACATGGACCCCCTGTGGCCCCAGGGCCCCCTGCCCGGCGCCTCCCCCCTCTCCCTACCAGCTGAGCTTCCTCAGTTGAGAGGTCACTGTCATTTGTGGATTGGGGCAGAGGTGGGTTCAGGAAGGATGGGGAGAGCTCCCCACAGTGGGGCCGGGGCTCAGAGGCACATCCCTGGGGCCCAGCCTCCATCTTAGGGGAGCCACTTCTAGATGGGCCACCAGAGGTCCCTCCAGGACACAGTGGCTGCTCAGGGGAGAGCAGACTATCAGGCCTGGAGCTCCTCTCAGCTCCCTCTGGCCAGGCCCCACGTTCCCAGGCAGGGCAGCCCTCAGCCTCTTTTTTCTCATCCTTGGCAGGGGCAAGGCCTGGGGGGTTGGGGCTGGTTTCAGTCGGACCATTGGTGGCATAATCTCCAGAGAGATCCTGGAAGGAGTTTGGCTTCTTGGTGGCTGCCACTGAGCACTCCAGGCGGCAGGGCAGGGAGCCATCAAACTTGTCTCCAGGCAAGTTTGGAGCTGGAGCTGGAGCTGGAGCCAAGTCCAGTGAAGCTGGAGGTGCTGGACTCAAAGGAGTAAGGTCCCAAAGGCTGTGGGCAGTTGCTTCCATTCCTGGGACCAGCTCTACAGACACCTGTTCTGCAGCCTCCAGGCCGGGAGGGAAGCGCTCGGCCACACTTGAAATCACAGGTGTGGTGGCTTCAGAGGAGGAGCCTTCAGACAGGGCTGGTGAGGCAGGTCGTGGCAGACTAGAGAGGAGAGGGGCCCCAGGAGAGCTGGGTGAGGGGAGCTGGGGCAGTGAGGAGTCCAGGCTGGGGGCCTTGGTCACTTCTAGGTACTCATCATGCCGGGCTCTGGTGGGGGGCCCTGGAGCCAGAGCCAGAGCTCGGTCCCCAGAGAAGGCAAGGGAGCCACAGGGTGCCGAGCGTGGCTCAGCTGGAGAGGGCAGCTGTGGAGGAGCTGGCTGCAGTGAGGAGAAACCAAAGGCTGAAGCAGGGAAGTCCAGGCTGGGTGGGGCAGGACCCTGATGTGAGTTTGAGGAAGGACTGGTACATGCCTCATGTTCAGGCCACAGTTTAGGGAGCCCCGCAGGGATGGGGTGGGGGGGACTTGGGGACTGGGCCTCTTTCTCTGGCTGCTCCAGAGCCCCCTTCTCTAGCTCTGAGTCACTAGTGCTGTCATCCCAGTGACTCTGGCCTGATTCCTTGGGGGATGGGGTTTTCCTATCTGGGCTACAGCTCAGGAGGTTACCATTAATATGGGGGCTTGGGCCTTTACTCAGGGGGACAGGAGCACGGGGGGGTAACGCAGGGGGGGTGAGGCTGGGCTCCACACTTGGCCCTGCATCAGGCACCTGCCTAGGTGGTACAGTGGGTCCCGCCAGAGCTGCGTAGCTGAAAGATGGGGTGTCGAATTGGAGGTTCTTGGGTGAAGCAGGAGATGAAAGTTCCTTCTCTGCTGATGTGTTTCGGCCAGCAGCCTCCTCCTTGGTTGAGATGTGTGGGGGCCAATCCCCAGCTGCTCCAAGAGGAGGTTCCCTAGTGGGGCACGCAGGGGTGAGCCCAGTAAGCATCACCTGCTCGTAGATATCCGCGTACTGAAAGCTTCTCTCATCAGGATAGGGCGTGGGCTCTCTCTGCTCTGGCTCTGTCTGCTCAGGCCCCTTGGTAGCATGGCTCTTGCTGGCCTCTGGGACCTTTGAGCTGCAGGTGCTGCTGTCAGGAGCCCTGGCCTGATCTTCTTCTTCTCCTTGCCCTTCAGCCTTGCGGTAGTCCTTCCCAAGGGGGGAGTATGGCCCACCTTCCAATTCAGCTGCCCCCTCCTGCACTGCAG